GTGTCAAAAAGGCACAAAAAAGCTGAAATATGGAGAAAATAGTCAAAAAGTGAGAAAACGTCTAATTTAAGAGCAGAAAGTCTCATTTTAGGAGCAACATTCAGTCAAAGATCTTTTGAAAAGTATTTGAGGGGTTTATTAAGTGACTCCTTTGTAGTAGTAACTAGAGGTTTTAGCTAAAGTCTGCTACCTTTCTCACATCTGAAGTCACACAGGGGGAAACTTTATTTAGGACTAAACTAAGATCCTCCAGAGTCCCAGTTCCTCTTCAGTCCGATTATTCTGATGGTCGGACTTTATTTGACAGCAGAGAAAAATGCCTCATGTTTGAGTCCCTTCTCTCCAGGTATTCTGTAATCCTCCGACTGGAGGAAATGAAATGGAAATAAAGTGTTTTTTTTAGCTAAAGCAAACAGAACCTGCACAGAGTCGGATCTGTGCAGTGGGAGGGAAATGGAAACGTGGAAACGGGTTTCCAGGCGCACAGTGGCCGGATTCATGTCTGAAAATCGACTTTTTCTGAACCTTTAAAAAGTCAACAGACAGTTGTGCTCCTCCTCTTTCATACCCAGACACGAATACTAACTCTAAAATGCATTAAACTTCCAAAAAATGCTTTAAATTAACACACCCACTGAGAGCGTTTCAGCGATAGCATCCATGCTAGCATTAGCACTGTAGCATAGCATTTATGCTAGCATGTTTGTCATGTTTGTAATAGAGCTGCTTCTGACTAAACCACAGGTTAAAAAGGTGGAACTTTCCTATCCTTTTGACTTTAATATACGCTTTATTTCTTTTTTTGCTTTATTATCTTGTGTTACAAATTAGCCCAATAAAGATAAAAGTGCTAATAAAGATAAAGATTGGGTATTTTATGAATCCTAACCCACATATTTGAAGCTGAATGTGCAGAAAGTGGCACTTAGAAAAAACTATTTTCAGTTTTTACAGTTCACATGTTTTTTACTGATTCTTATTAATGATTTGAAGTAAAAAATGCTTTCTTTAAATAGATTCTTATTAATGCTTTGAAGTAAAAAATGTTTTTACTGATTGTTATTAATACTTTGAAGTAAAAAAAGCATTTTTTTTTACTGATTTTTATTAATTCTTTGAAGTTAAAAATGTTTTTTATTGATTGTCTTTGATGCTTTGAAGTCAAAAATATATTTTTTTACTTATTATTATTAATGCTTTGAAGTAAAAAATGCTTGTTTATATAGATTCTTATTAATGCTTTTAAGTCAAAAATGTTTTTACTGATTGTTATTAATACTTTGAAGTAAAAAATGCTTTTTTTTTTACTGATTCTTATTAATGCTTTTGAGTCAAAAATGCTTTTTACTGATTGTTATTAATGCTTTGAAGTAAAAAATGTATTTTTTACTGATTGTTTTAATTTTTTTTGTGGTCAAAATAGATTTTTTTTTACTGATTCTAATTAATGCTTTGAAGTTTTTTTGTTTTATTTACTGATTCTTATTAATGCTTTGAAGTTAAAAATGTCTTTATTCCTGAATGTTTTAATGCTTTGAAATCAAAAATGTTTTTTCCCGATTGTCTTTGACTCTTTGAAGTCAAAAATATATTTTGGATTGATTGTTATTAATGCTTTGAACTCAAAAATGTTTTTTACTGATTGTTTTTTATGCTTTGAAGTCAAAAATATATATTTTTTACTTATTAATGCTTTGAAATCGAAAATGTTTTTACTGATTGTCTTTGATGCTTTGAAGTTAAAAATGCTTTTCTTACTGATTGTTTTAATGCTTTGAAGTAAAAAAGTGCATAAAAACTGTCTTTATTCCTGATTTTTTTAATGCTTTGAAGTTTTTTTGTTTTATTTACTGATTGTTTAAATGCTTTGAAGTAAAAAATGTCTTTATTCCTTGTTGTTTTAATGCTTTGAAGTAAAAAAATTCTTTATTACTGATTGTTTTAATGCTTTGAAGTAAAAAATCTATATTTTTTACTGATTCTTATTAATGCTTTGAAGTTGTTTTTGTTTTATTCCTGATTGTTTTAATGCTTTGAAGTTTTTTTGTTTTTCTTACTGATTGTTTTAATGCTTTGAAGTTAAAAATGCTTTTTTTTACTGATTCTAATGAATGCTTTGAAGTTTTTTTTGTTTTATTTACTGATTGTTTTAATGCTTTGACGTTTTTTTTGTTTTATTTACTGACTGTTTAATGCTTTGAAGTTAAAAAGTGCATAAAAACTGTCTTTATTCCTGATTCTTTTACTGCTTTGAAGTTAAAAAGTGCATAAAAACTGTCTTTATTCCTGACTGTTTTAATGCTTTGAAGTAAAA